TGGATAAGTGCCCACTGATGGGATTGCTGGATCTTGTGGTAGTTCTATTTGCAGTTTTTTGAGGATCTGCCGTACAGTTCTGCATACTCCTATATTCCCACCAACAGTGTTTAAGAGTTCCCTTTTCTCTGCAACCTCACCAGCATTTGTTATTTTTTGTCTTTTTATAATTGCCGTCCTAACTGCGATAAGATATTATCTCATTGTGGGTTTCATTTGCATGTCCCTGATGATGAGTGATGTTGAGCATTTTTTCCTGTATTTGCTGGTTATCTGTCTTCTTTGGAGAAATGTCTGTTCAGAGCAAGTGCCCATTTTTTAATCCAATTGTTTGGGGTTTTTGCTTTTGAAATGTTTGAGTTCCTTGTATATTCTGGATATTAATCCCTTGGTAGATGAATAGTTTTCAAATATGTTCTCCCATTCTTTAGGTTGTCTTTTCACTCTGTTGCTTGTTTCTTTGCTCTGCAGACATTTTTTTAGTTTAATATAATCCTGTGTGTTTATTTTTGCTTTTTTGCCTGTGCTTTTGAGGTCCTATTCATAAAATCCTTTCCCAGACCAATATCCTGAAGCATTTCCCTGATGTTTTCTTCTAGTAGTTTTATAGTTTCTGGTCTCAAAGTTAATTTTTTTTTAAAAAAAAAAAGCACATGATGAACAATATATCAACATTTTCAATAAAGATAGGATCCAGCTCAGGATTGAGATTAGGGTGAGATGAACGAGGTATCATACAAAGGTAGGGTGGAATCCTACATTATTGTTCATCATATATCTACATTCATTTTGATTTTTTAAATGTTGCATTAATTTAAAATGTTGTATAGATAAATAATAGCACTGATATTATTGAGTTTTTATTAGGTTGATGCAAAAGTAATTGTGGTTTTTGCCATTACTTTGAATGGCAAAAGTAAACTTAAGAGGGAGAAACTATTAGATTGGTTCATAAGTAATTGCAAAACCACAACAACTTTTGCACCAACCTAATAGCTCCCCCCACTTAAATTTTACACCCAAGGATAGTGCCACACCTGCCTCACCCTAGCCCCAGCCTTGGAGAGGGAGCAGGTGTGCTGAGGCTCCTGACACTGCCTGATATCTGGGAATTCACCCAGTTCCTTGGTGAAATGTAGCCTCTACGTTTATTCATTCACTTATTGGCTCATCCAACACAGTTCATTGTTCCCCATGCAGGCCCGGCATTGGGGGCTGACTCAATCCCTGCCCCCATGGTGCTTATGATCTCAATGACAAGAAGTGCTTATACACATAATTACTCAAATAACCACTTAATTTTAATAAAGTGCTGCAAAGGAAATGTATGGTACCTAGGATGAAATCCCCTGACCAGCTGGGCCTCAGGGAAGGCTTTCCAGAATAAGCATGATTTTAGCTGCAAATTAAAGTATGAGTAAGAACTGAAAGCACAGAAGGAAGAGAGAAGATCCCAGGAGGAAGGGGCTGCCTGTGCAAAGGCCTTGAGGGTAGGAGGGTGCTCAGTCAGGGAAGCAGGAGAGAGGTCTGCACACTTTCTCCTGGACTCACTTTTAGGGTGGGTTTGGGAGAGAAACAGCAGCCTAAGGCAGTAGTTTCCAGGCCTGGATATCCATCCGAAACACCTGAGAAATATGTTAACAATGTACATTCTCAGGCCCCAGCTGCAGAACCTGTGATTGCACAGATCTGAAGCAGGGCCCAGGAACTGTATTCTGACCTTGTCAGTCCCACTCAATCCTTGGCATTTCAGCATCTCTAGATTCAAGGTGTCCCGCCCATGAGACAGCTGCTCCAGGTGAGCTGGGCCCTGTTACTCCCTGCAGGTTTGAGTGGTTCAAGGACCTGGGGCTGAAGTGGTACGGCCTCCCTGCCGTGTCCAACATGCTCCTGGAGATTGGCGGCCTGGAGTTCAGCGCCTGTCCCTTCAGTGGCTGGTACATGGGCACAGAGATTGGTGTCCGCGACTACTGTGACAACTCCCGCTACAATATCCTGGAGGTAAGGACCCTCTCTGGTCACCACACGGAAAAGCACATAGGAGAGGGTACCAGCTCAGCAGTCCCTTTCTCCACGATGAGCTTGGTTGCTTGGAAACTTGAAGGGGTTAGAATAGAACTACAATCCCAGAGAAGCCCCTGGAAATGCCAGGGGCATCCATGTCTTTAACAACGATGAAAATGACAGCAAACACACACATAGCACATAGCACATGCTAACACCATTCGAAGCACTGTTTCTGTGTTCCATTCTCATTTAATCCTCACCTGAACTTTGAGGTATGAGAATCCGCCTTCGACAGATGACAAGCTCAAGGTCACACAGCTAGCGGGCAGCAGGGCTGGGACGTGTGTCTGGTTTGACTTTATGGTCCAAGTTCATTACCACCCCACTCCACTGCCTCTCGGTCTTAAATCTTGTTAGAAGAGCTGGAGGATGACTGACAAACTCGGGACATATTTAGTGTCTTTTCTAAAAAACAAGGGAGGAGGGTTGGCAGTGGTTCCCCACTCTAAGCATTTCTCGGCGGAGGGTCTGATTCCCTCCCGGGCTGAGTCATCCGTATCTACTAAAAAGTGCTGGAGCGGTGCTTCCTGAAGCCCAACTTTGGTGAAAGCATCATGATTGCTGCGTTTTTGTCAGCAAATGTCTCTAACAACGCTCTGCTGCTGTTGGATTTGTTTCAAAAGAGGGCCCCGAAAAACAGAGAAGTTAAGCATCGGGCCTGTGTCACACAGGAACTAAGGCACAGAACCAAGATTAGAACCCAGAACCGAGCATCAGGTTTGTGTTGTTAAAAATCCACTGGTTGGCTGGGCGCAGTGGCTCACACCTGTAATCC